GGGTCCCGGATTTATTATTTATTTTTAGGGGGGGGGTTATTAATATGAGGAAGGGATTATTCATGTTCCCTTTGGGGCTACTGAACGCTAAGCCCTAAACCCTAAGATTCCGCTTGGGGTTACTAAGCACTAAGCGTCGGGGTTCCTGAATCCCACATGAGCAAGAGTCTAAACTGTCTAAAGGGGGCTTATGAGGGGGATTATACAGGGATTATAACAGGGGTTATTAAGGGGGATCCTAGGAGCTTAGACCCTAAACCCCTGTAACAGGGGTTGTTCAGAGAACTCTTGGAGTTTAGACTGAATTCCCATATGGCGTAGGCCGCGCGGCCTCATTGCGGCGAGTTCTTCGGAGGCTGGGCTCGCTTGTCATGTGTTTGGGGTTCTAGGGTTTAGGGTGATGTGTTTTCGATTTAGGGCCAGGGTTTAGGGTTTTTGTGTTTAGGGTCCAGGGTGCAGGGTTTAGGGTTTTGGGTTTCGGATTTGGCGTTAAGGGCTCAGGGTTTAGTGTGAAGCTAGTTTTTGTCTTTGGCTTTTGCGTCTAGGAATTTGGATTTAGGAATCAGGGTCTAGGGTTTTGGGTTTAGCGTTTTGAGTTAGGAGTTTAGGGTTCGCGGTCAGGGTCAGGGCTTTAAGGTTTACGGTTTAGCATTTAGGGTTTAGGGTACTCGGGTTGGTCCGACCTCCAAAGTACTGCAGAAGCCTAAGTAATTACCAACTCTACCGTCCCAGGTGTGTAGAAACATGGTATAGATTACCTCAAACAGATCTCAAAAGGACATTTATAAAAGTATTCAGGTTCCTACACGAATTCCCCAAGTTTCCGCCTCATCTAGGTTTTTTATGGCAAAGTAGGGTTCAATGACATGTAACCTTCCAGAAAGGTGATTGCAGAAGCCCATGAAGGTTTGGGTACTACAGGCGTGAGGATAGAAGGGTTTATAGGTTGTTGGTTTCAGGTTTTGAGATTGCATACTTTAGGAATTTATGTTTTTCAGGCGACTTCGTTCGGTTTTCGCAGTAGATTCATGCAAGCGTGGTTCCAGAAACAGCCATGGACCTGAGGAACAACAGGAACTTCCCATGACAAAGACCAACAATGCTTTTGCGTTTAGATTAGATGGCATGTTGTTCCTGGGGATTCGGTATCATGGCATCGTAAATCCCGCATTGCAACATCCAGACAGTCTGAACAAGGCTTCATCCACCTAAGGGCTTCACATGCACTTAAGGAGTGCATTTGCCTAATTCACACCAATGTGCGAGGGTGGTCGGGTTGCAAGCAGATCGCTAAGCAACCAATGATCAAGCCCCTCTAACCTCGACCAAACAAACATGGAACCCTACACCCTAAACCCCACTCAAGCCCTTGGCAAAAGGACTGTAGTCTCTGTAGGACTCCTTTTGGGCTGCATGTTAGTTTGCGGGAGGTCAATGCAGCAAAATACTGGAGCCTTGTCGAAGCAAGTCTTAGCAGCCCCACAACTGACAAAGCTGAAGAGGATCTTGTTCAGGGAACTTAGGATTAAGCCATGTTATCCCCCTATAATGGAGAATCAAATGAAAAAGAAAATGGAACATACAATGGAAACTGGTGGAATATATATATATATACATATATATAGAGGGTTTAATGAACTTGAGTTGAGAGGATTTTGGATTCAAGGCTCAAGGCTTTCGAGCTTGAAACTGTTAAGCTCCCCCCCTTTCCTGCGTGCGCAGGGGCCTTTTTGGAGCCTTCTGGCCTTAAGGGCATGGATATCATTAAGGCCGACGGGGGATTGGGGGGTGTTGATATTTGGGATTTATACCACCTCCCCCTGATACGACAACTCCCCAGACACTATTCTTAGAAGATCCAACAGGGGTGGTATACTCTTGGGAGTACTTAATACTACCATAAGGAGGGAGGGCGGGATTAAGAGGAAGCCCTTAACCGCAAACCCTGAACCCCAAACCCTAAACCCTGAACCCCATAAACCCTAAACCCTGAACCCTGCACCCTCAACCCTTAACCCTAAGCCCTTCTTAACCCCAAGCCTATGGCCTTTGTCACGCTTCAGGACGCTGAAGCTCTATGCCCAAACCAAGGAATACAACGACCAGGTTTTCTAGGGTTTGGCTTTGGGGCATTCTGGGGTTTGGGGATTTTGGGGTCTTGTGGTTTTACGATTTTGGGCTTGGTTTTTTTAATGAAAACATGCAGGATTAAGCATCGGGTACTTATGAGTTTTGGGTCTTGGAACCCTACACCCTAAAGGCCACAAACCCTAACCCCGTATGAACCCCCTCAAAATTCTGGATGCATTTTTGTTGGGGGAAGGCCCCTTCCAGAAGGGTCTTGATGTGTTCTCTGTCAGTGCGGCAAGCCAAGTTTCGGCGATTCCCAGCGTTGCCTGCTCAAGCAGTTTAGGGTTTAGGGATGAGATATATGGATCTATACTTTGGGTTCTGCCGTTTCCATGGTTTTTATAACATGGAGGTCATTCACCGGCCTCAAAGTATAATATTCCTGTTTCAAGGCATTCGCAAAAGGCGAACCCTCCGTCAAATCTTGGAAAAGCCCATATCGTGTGTAGCTCTATAGTGGTTACCAACTCTGGTGTGAGGGCTTGTAGCTTGAGAATTCCACGGTTTAGGATGAAGCAGCCAGTTTCCACTTGATGTTGCATTTGAGTGTCCACTAGAAGTCTCCATTCTAGTAGTTTCCACCATCATGTCCATTCCTAATATTAGGGTAGTATTCCTGTAATCCGTTTTTTTGAAGGAATTTTCAGGTGGGGAGTTATCAGGTGGGTAGCCCTCCACGAGGCAAGCTTTATTATATAGGGGAAACAACCCATCCAAGCTTTTAAGCGTGCATCGTTTTTTTCACGGGACGGTGTTCATGTTGGCATCAGTCTTTGTGCACCAACTGCCCCTATCGCTGGCTAAACAGTTCTGTGTCTGCTGAGATGCGGTACTGTTTTGATCCGTTTTCTTGTGTACTGCATACGCTGTCTACAAGAAGGAATTTACAACAAAGCTAGTGTTTTCAATGCAGCTACTCCAAGCAAGTTGACTAGTTAGCGCCTTTCTTGTACATCTGTGTCCCCCTCGCAGCACGTGAACGTTTTCGATCTATTGGTAGGGATGCCCGAAGCTAACCCACCACATGCGCTGAAACCTTCAAGCTATGCAATGAATTTAGTCTTTGCAGCCGTTGCTTGGAAGGCCCTTATTCAGCTACTTCGCGCCCGCAAAACCTTCAGAGTCAAATTAAGCCTGCCACTTTTACTTGCTTGTCGGCCTTCCATGTTCTGATCCATTGGCTCTTCATCGGCATTGCCATCTGAACCAAAGTCAAAACTGCTAGCATCCCCCTTAATAGCCCCTATAATACTCCATCCCATAACTCCATCCAGGAAGTTTAGATTAAAGCTCAGGTAAGTACTTCGAGTCCTGAGCCCCAACTGAGCCTTAAAGGCAACGATCACTACAATAGCCAATCCCGAGTCGTCCGCCCAAGCCTCTTGTTCAATGTATATACCTTGGAAATATCCCCCCCACCCTCTGTAGTAGGGGTTTAGAGTTTAGTAGGTTTAGGGTTTACAGGTTCAATGTATAGATTTGACTTGGAGGGTCAGGGGAGCTTAGTAAGTAGGCTAATGATGGGGATAACTAGGGTTACTAGAAGGGTTAGAGGGGTTAGTAACCTACCCTCCAAGTAGGAATATAAGAGGACCCCAATATAATCACCATTATCCCTTGCAGTCACTATTACTGGCTGCTGAGTCTACCTGATATGATTTCCGCCACTGCCAGTGAATCTTCAGCTTGCAGTAAGCCGCTCAAAACGGGGTTTCTCCAAGAAACAAGTGCCTACCAGCATCATTGAGTCATTGATGTATATTTTGAGTAACTGGAAACAGGGGATCTTTTTGGGCGATGTAGAAGTAGGGCAGTTGTGCTTACCTCTAAACCCAAAGCCCTAAACCCTTCAGTAGCCCTCAATGTCCTGAGTCCTGGGCAGGCACTGATTGCTGTGCTGCTCCTGTCGGGTTCCTGAGGGATGCAGATTTCAGGCTCCATAAAAGGGTTTACAGTAGGATTTAGGGTTTGGGGTTGAGGGTTTAGGGAATGAACGAATGGGAAAGAGAAAATGGAAAGTACTGTAGTGGGTTATATAGGGACTACTATAAGAATCCCTTCCTGAATTCCTAGTTAACCAAAGGTAAGATTTTCAGGCTCCATCAAACTGAAAGTCATAGCCCCAGGGGGTCCAACGCATGCAACTATAAGGATCCTAAAGTCTCATGTACTGGGCGATTAGGGATAGGGTTTCCAGGAGAGTGAGGGTGGAGATTCACTGTTTGAGGACCTTGGTTAGCCCTTTGTTGTCCTCCGCCCCTCATCTTTGAAAATGACTGTATGACGATTGCGATCACCGTTGCGTCCAGCGTTGGCAATGCCAGTCTCATTTGCTGAGACGATTCTTGGGACGTTTTGCTTCAGCGACCGGGATTTGCCAAGCGATGGGTCATAACAATCTTAAGAGCATTCTCGTGGATGACTGTAAGCAGTTGCAGCAATTCCCATACGTTTTTGGAGGTTGCCAGGCGTCAATACTAAGCATGTCTACCGAGTTTTGTGCGCTTTCTTGCTTTCTTCATGGAAACACTAAAACATTCATTTCGTTCAAGTGTTCCGGATGCATGGCAATGCTTCAGAAAAAAGAGCAGAATGTTCTAGTAATGAAAATGCGTAATGACAGTGATAGTGACACTGATACAGTTCATACCAACCATCACTGGCAGTAGAAACCAAGAGAACTAAAACTGATAACACCAATGGTTGTCATAGCATCAGGAAAACCAGTACTATCAATAACCAATCTCTATCCCGTCTTCAAGGGTTCAGTATGCAAGGCTCATATGCTTGGGGAGCCTTGTGGTTTCAATCGTAATTCGGCTCCAGAGGCTATGGAAATGTTCGTGTTTCCTGCGCCGGGTCCCAGGGATCACCGTAAAGGCCACACCGTGTGGCTAATATGAGGGTTCGTATGATATTCATGCTAGTATTTGGAGATCTATTTTGGGTCCCTGGGCCTATTTTTGGAAACCACCATGCTCTCTCTACACCAGGATCCCTCAGCCTCTGCAATTTTGACACATGCATATTTCGAGTCGCCAGCTGTTCATCCTGCAACCCATATTTCGCAAAATGCTACTCCCCCTACTCCTACTCCTACTCCTACTCCTACTCCTACTACTACTACTACTACTACTACGACTACGACGGCTGCTACCACTACTACTACTCCTCCTACTACTGCTACTACCACTGATTGTAGCCATTGTTGTGGTTCGTCTACTTGGGGCGTTAGAGGGACTTAGTAACTAGATTAATACTATAGGATAGCTGGGGTTACTAGATGGGCTATAGGGGTTATTACTTACTTAGCCAATAGAAGAACTTTAATCTTTTAGGGCTTCCTTTTGGGGTCTCTATAATGAAGTTTAAACTTTTTTAGCCCTGGTTATTGGGGAAGAGAGATTAACCTAGTTACTAAGTCCCCCTGACCCTAAGCCTTGAACCCTAAACCCTAAACCTCAAACCCTATGTAATACAGTAGCTTCCATTTTCTTTTCCATTTTTAACCTTGAACCCTAAACCCTAAACCTTAAACCTTATGTAATATAGTAGCTTCCATTCTCTTTTCCATTTTTAACCCAGTTACTATGTCTCATAATGACCTAAACCCTAAAACCCTAAACCCTAAAACCCTAAAACCCTAAACCGTACACCCTAAAACCCTTATGCTTACTAAGTCCCCCTGACCCTCCAAGTAGCCTTCGGGTGGCTGAACTAATGACAAAGGCAGCGCCCAAGTCTGGGTTTCGTCGACTCTTCCGCCGAGCCGGGGGGCCATGTGGGTTATAGTCTGAACTCCTTACAGGGGGTGATAGAAGGGATTCTATAGGGGAGTAGTATAGGGGGTTTTAAGGGGGACACTAGAAGTTTAGACTATGGCTCATGTGGGTTATTCTCTAAATTCTGGCCCCCCCTTTGGGTATAAACCATAATACGGCACCTAATGTTCAGGGGCAACAAAGTGGGAGCCTAATCTCGTTGCGATTTAAGGATCCCAGCCATGCACTTATGAATGGCGTAATGTTTTGAGATAGTTGGAAAGCATGCATGCGAAGATAGTTCAGTAAGGCATGTTGGGATTAGGTAGGGATTGCATGGAAAGCTAAACCCTAAACTCTAGATTGAGCGGCATACGGGTTATGGATCGGGCTTCAAAGGGCCCTTTTTGCATGAATCCCTCGCTTTGAGTGGTATGCCTTAGAGGTGGCGGTGAAGCCTACAGCTTTAATTCCTTAACCCTAAACTGCTAACCCCTTCTCAGCTTCAAAATCAAGTTTTGGATAGGGTGTTCAGTTTCGAGGTATCCTCCGTAAGAAAACAAATGGGAGGTTCCAACCGGTGTAGGGTTTCCAAGCATCACGGGGCCTCTCTTTGGGGGTCCCCTCATAACGACTATGAGGTCTATTTTGGGGTACCGTACTAAGGAAGAAGGCATTGCATCCCAATCCTAATCCCCAAACGCTTTGCTAGACCTCACAGTTCAGCCTATATCACAGTCATGTGGTAGCCTTTCACGTTCTGAGCGGCAGCTAGCCACACCTGCCCCAGTATCTCAGAACCTGCTGTCTTGCCCAATGAGATGTGTTCTTGCTCTCCCTAAGCTCTAGTTGCATCCTCCTCCCTCCCAGAAACGCTTGTATTTCGATACTGCTCTTGAGGCAAGAGCGCTCGGTAGTTTGAGTCTGTTCATGCGCAAGTGGAACTTTGAACTTGGGTCCCCCTCCTGCCCAAAGCTTCCAGTTGGTAGCCCAGATTAGGACCCTAGAAGCATCATATGTATATACTACTATGATGGGATCCAAATTTTGGGGGTTGGGTGCAGCAAGACCTCCCCGAAAGCCTAACCCCATTGTGAATACTCGTGTCCTTACAAGCGCGGACCGTTCGAATTGCGACAATTCGACAATGAGGACGTTGGAACGGGCACTGCCTTTCAAACCTTGTAAACTTCTTCAGGAAGCATTTTATAGGGTTTATGGGGTTGGGGGTTCAGGGTTTGGGTTTTGCGCGGTTGGCAAAATCAAGCTGAAGGGGTTGAAAGCGTGATAAACTGAAGCAACGTTCACAGCACCTTGTGGCCATCTATAAGCCATGACCCTCAAATCCCATGCCTGAGGTCTCCAACCTATATAACCGTGAACCCTGAACTGGAACCCTGAACCCTTAGTCCTGTGCTACTCACAGCTTGTAAGCAACCTCTTGGCTCTTGGCTTCACTGAGGCTCTTTCTCGGGCTCCATGGCCACGACGAATTTCTGGAGCGTTCCACCCCTGCAAACATAGAGTTTGCTCTACGTAAGGGTCCAAGTACCTGAAGAAAGAATGGTTATCAGTACCGAGTGCCTGTTGCTCAACATTTCACTACTTGGATGCTTAAACATTGCGCTCCATAGGGGTGCGGATAAAAGCACTACAATTGTCAAGGGTTCCTTTCCGTACATGGCGATTTGAGGCACGCAGACAGACATGGAATTTGATTCCAGAATAGAACAAGCAACAGACGACTGCTGCCCTGTTCAAAGGGGCCACATGAGTGTCCGTGCCGTTTTGGCGGAGTGTATGTTGCAGGTTTGTGGGGATGGGCTGGATGATGAAGGTCCGCTTAGAAAATGCCTAAAACCCTAAACAATCCTAAACACTAACATCTTGGAATTGTTTCGGGTGGCCCACGCAGGAAACAGGTTTGGCCACGTACTAATGAAAATGCATCATACCGCAGATCTCAAAACCCTAAACTCGTCCCTAAACCCTAAACTCCAAACCGTGCGCGGATACCCTTTAGACATAGGCTCTGTCAAGCAGGCAGTTCCATTTCAAGACCCTGAGCTCCAGAAACATGTACTTCCACCCGAAACAGAATCTTGTTGAGGAGAAGGGTGCTTCAGTTGTATTCGGGAGTCAATGCAGGTACTGTTAGTATAGGGGTTTCCCAAAATTAGACGTATTTTTTGTGTGATCCCAAGAATAAGGATTGTAGTATATTGGGTTATATGTTAATTAGGATCCTCCTGGGTTGGAAAACTACCATGTGGAGGATGATCTGAGCTATAGTCTCAATTCCTTAAAGGGGGGGTTATATGGGGGAGTACTGTAGGGTTTTTAAGGGGGATACTAGGAGTTTAGAATATTATGGGGGGTCATTCACCCGAACGCGAAGACCCCATGCAAGACTTGGTGCGGAGGATCTTGAGCGACCACTCTGCCGAGGCAGCTATTTTGAGAGGTCGGGTTCTCAGCAACACAGAGTCTCCCTCCGATTTGCTGGTACCAGATTTTGTTGCACATTATCTGCCCCCTTCACAACCCCTGTACTACTCCCCCATATAATCGCCTACATAACCCCCCGTTATCAGGCCGACCCCTTGTTTCACCTCAGATTTGTTCTGTTGTTTTTGTTGGCTTCGGTGGGCCTGAGATTCGTTCTGTCTTTCTGGTGTCTAAGCTGTATCATGCTTTTTTGCTGGGGGGAGGGGGGGTGCTAAGATTTGTTCTGTTTTCGCGGGGCTCTGAGATTTGTTCTGTTTGAGACCCTTAGCAGTGTTTAGGCCGCAATCTGAGAATTCCTGTGCTACTCGCAACATCGACCTGCCCACAGGCGTAAGAGGTTTGTTCCGCATACGGTATGGCCAAGTCTTTCAAGTCAAGTCTTTTGCATGAGCAACCCTGAGGCTCTAAGCCTTTGAGTATATAGTCCCCCTTCAGTAGATAGACTATGGCTTTGGGTATCTTATAATAAGATCCCCATATATCTACTTAAGGGGGGGGCTATATCATACCTACATTGGGCCTAATGTGTATGAACACTGCCTATGTTCGGGCCCTATGGGAACGCTCTCCTTCAGTAGTGCCGCAGTATCATGCACCATGAAGCCCCAAGCTCGGCACTCAAGCACAAGCCCCAAGAATTAGCAGCATGACATGAATTATCCCCTACAATCCCCGCATAGTGATAGAATGTGTCCCACAGCTTATTCCTGTGATTAAGGCATTAGGCTCCTGCGGTACTCGCAGAACCCCAAACTCTTGTCTGAATCGGCCTGTATACAACCCAGTTTCCGTTCAAAGTTTCAAACTTCATGTCCTTTTCGCGTTGATTCTCCGTTTTCGGCATTCGTTAGGATCCTGAACCTCTAAACTGCCTTTAGCTTCCACGGAGGGAGAAGCCAGCCACAACGACAGCGAAGCCCGCCCAGGCAACATGATGTGTTGTCAACTTGGTGTAGGGCTTGTAGGTTTGTATGTCGCCGGGTTTATAGCCCCCCCGCACACCGTGCCCCAAACTATGGTTTTAGAGGGTTGCTCTGAATTCTCCGTCTTCAGAATGCAACAATGCATTAGCTACCGGGGCCTGCAGCACCAGTTCCTGGGCCCGCAAGTGCATGGACCTCTGTGGGGAGATAGCACGGGAGCCCATAACTATTCGGAGCGAGGACCAACAGACAAATGATGCAATGGTCTAAACTCCTTAAACAAATTTATATAATTAGGGGACTACTATAGGGGCCTATTAAGGGGGATACTAGGATTTTAGATTATAGCTGAAATTTGGCCAGGTCTTGCCCTATGAATTTTCCGGTAGGCGAAATTACTGAAAAGGGTTATTCGGCCCTTTATTTCCGTAGTAGGACCTTAGTAACTCTTGTATGGTTTAAGGGGCTTATTAAGTCCAACAGCCAGTTCTGGTATGACCCCTGGGCTGGACTGTACAAGTTTCTTGCTTGCTGGGGCCGATGAGTCTGCGCAGTACAAGATCGCACAGCTTCAGGTTTAGGATGTACGTAGGGTTTTACATAGTCGTCCGTGATCCGGACCCCGAGGAAACCCTTTCAATCCCACATATCCATGAACTTCTGCAACCCTAAACCCTAAACTCTAAACCCCAAAGCCTAAGCTCCATTTCCTGACCCCAGAGCCCTAACCAAAAGCCGCATACTTTGGACCCTGGGCCCCCTACAATCCCGAAACCCTAAGCCCTCACATCCAGAAGCCCGAATGCAGGAGGCCAGCGGGCCTATGCCAGAGTACACTGCCGTACGGGCTCCCAAACTCCGGGATGGAAATCTGGAGACTAAGAATTTAGGGCTTTTGGGGTTTAGGGTTTAGGGCTTGGAGGGCTTTGTGGTTCAGTCGTTGGAGTGTATTTGCGTGTAGCATTCAGGTTTTCAGAGTTTAGGGTTCACAAAATAAGGCAAGAGACTTTACAGACTCAAGTCCCAGACCCAACTCAAGGCCATTCCTAATTACCTGATACCTTAACCTTAATAAAGAGCAGTCACGTGACTGAGCCGGGTTCCTACTGGGACGGATCTCTGATGTCCCCCGTGTTAAAAGAGAGCTGGGACAGGCAAACGCCACCCAAAAAATATTTCAGGACGTGCAATTTCGCACGCGGTTTCGGGTTTAAGCCCCCCCCCCCAAGGCAGGGGGTCCTGAACAGTGTTCAGCCAAGCTTCGCCCCAGACTGAACGGGACTCGACAGTATGGTTACGGAAGGGACCAGATGCCGCCAAAGCCGCCAGGAAATAAGGGTCCCCTATACCCCAACCCCTAAACCCCCTAAACCCTAAACCCTTAAGCCTAAATCCCTGTGGTGCCATCTCATAGCTGTAGGACAGCAAAGTAGACTCGACCACAGGGTGCCTCTAAGGATCCTGGTCTTTTTTTTTTTTTTAATAGCCCCCCTTAAATAGATAGAATTATAGGGGCTACATTGGGAGAATGGAAAATAAAATGGAAACTACTACTTTGGGTTTAGGGTGTATAGTCCCCCTAGAGTAGATAGAATATGGCTTTTGGTATAGTATAATAAGATCGCCATATACCCCATATTCTATCTACTTAAGAGGGACTACATCCCCTGACAGCCCGGACCTACTACCACAAGCTTGGGGTGTCGGTGTTGTAGGCTCAGGGTGAGTTCGTATGGGGTCTGAGGTTGCTTCTTCAGGGCTGCAGGTCCACAGGCTCACGTCCCACACTGGCATAGTGCAGTAAAACATTACGTCACACTCTAGTGCAGGCATCCAACGCAGGTACAGGGACTGCCCAGTGCCACTCTTCTGCGTGACTACTATGGCTTTGAGGCGCCCTGGCCCTGGTCTGAAATGCAGACCTTACCCATCAGAAGCTGAACGACGGGAAACCCAACTTTTCTCAACCTCAGAAGCGTCGGTAGACGATTCCTTAAACCATGATTTCCGAACGTACAGTGTGTTCTAGATATACTCCACAGTCTTTCCAACCCTTGCAAGCTTCCAGTCCGCCATCTTCAAATATGCCCCAACCATTTCCAGCAATGTGGGTCCTAAACCCTAAACCCAATGCTCCAAACCACAGCCCTTTGGTCTTAACCCTAATCAACCCCAACCCCACCTCTGCCTGTGCCGAAACTCCCAGCCCTACATCCTAAAGCCTAAACCCTCAACATCCTCATCTACTTCAAGCCTATAAACCTTGAACCCCTAAACCCTACCTGTCCGCATTCTATCAAATCCCTATATATAACCCTAATAAACCCTATAACCAAAAGTTGTAACCTGATCACCAGCCTTAATTCCTTGGCGCCATCCGCTCCCCAAGGTTCGAAGCTTCCGCGGGCTGCTGCCGCCCAGGCAGACGTGAGGGTGCAAGGGTAGGGTGTACCTGGATGTCCTACTTTTTTGGGGATCTACCTTACAAAAAAATAGGACAGAACCTCCAAAAAAGAAGGACTTCCAGGGTCCAGGTAGGGTTTAGGGTTTAGGGCAGTGTAGGGTATAGATGTTTTAGAAGTTTAATGTATTTGGGAGCTTAAAGAATTCTAATATGAGGGTCCCATTGTGTCGACTATTCAGGCCCCTACAGTAGGGGGCTAGGAGTTTATGTTTGGGACTTTAAGATTTAAGGCTTTCGGGGTTGGGGGCTTGGGGCTTGAGCAGATTGGGGTTTAGGGCTTTAAGAGTTTAGGGTCAGGGCTTTAACAGTCTAAGGCTTAGGGCGTATGGCTGTACCTGTAATACTAGCCCTTTAAACAGAAACACAATGATGATTTGGGCCCTGGGGTTTCAGCTTCAGAGTGTAGGCTTTTGGAACTTACGGTTTGAGGCGTAGAGGTCAGGGCAAAGCACACGGACGATCGCCTGCTGAATACACTTATATCCAGACCCTAGTCGAGGTCATTATACCTTCCTCCAAAACGTGCAGTACCCCAAATACTTTCCAAGATCCTATATATCTTGCAGAATTATGATCAGGCGCCTGCACTACATAGTCCCCTTATGCTTCCCTGTACGTCCATGCCAGTTTTCTTTTCTTTTCCATGTCATTCTCCATTCTCCCCCTGAACCGTGATCCCGAAATAAGCTAATGATTATAATTATGAGCCATAGTCTAAGCTCCTTAAAGGGGGATTCTATAGGGGACCCATTATAGGGGTTATTTAGGCGGATACTTGGAGTTTCGACTAGAACCCCTAAAATCCCCTGTATAATACAAGTTTCCATTTCATTTTCCATGTTCTTTTCCATTTGATTCTCCATTATTAAAGGGGATACTAGGAGTTTCGACCCCTAAACCCGAAACCCTAAACCTAGCTCATATGGTCAGTTACTTAGGCTTCTACGGTAGTCGTTCGAGGTTGCAGCGATCCAAAGCTGGTCCACCGTCCGCTGCTGCCTCAGGGCTTAGAGTTTGGGGTTTTTGGTTTAGGGTTTTGGGTTTGGGGTTTAGGGTTTAGGATTTAGGCTTCTGGGGGGGTCATGAAGGTTTAGGACTTAGGGTCTGAGACTTAAGGTTTAGGATTTCGGGTTTGGGGTTGAGGTTTAGGGTTGAGATCTTAGGTTTTGGGGTTTAGGTCCTAGGTTTTCATATTGCGGATTCCGGAAGTTCATGCGTAAAGCGTCCTTAGCGAATATCCATCCCTGGGGTCCCTAAGGTCCCCCCCCGTAGTGAGAAGTTTGCAAAAGGTACGAAGAGGTGGCGCTGAATCATGGGACACTTTAGTTCACGCGCCTACAGCAAAGGCTGCCGAAAAGGCATCTTTTAGGTGGATCCCCCCCACCAGTAATAGTGACTATAGGAGTTAATGATGATTACATTAAGGTCATCTTATAGTCCTATTATACCACTACACCTGAAACCCTAAACCCTATACCACTGTTACAGGGCGGAAATTCCTCCCAAAACATCTTCATGGGAGGGTTGAGACGAGCTTCTTGCTTGGTATGATGGAGGAACTCTTGCACTATCAGCGGTTTCACATATGAGCTATAGTCTCAACGCCTTAACAGGGGTCATATAGGGCATTATACAGGGGACTATTATAGGAGGTATTAAGGGATATTAGGAATTTGGACGATAGCTCATCTACATCAAGGGGGGTATGCTCGGAGATGCCAAATTTCATCGATGGAACTCGATCGGGCATCCACCCCTTAACACTAGACTCCAGATCCCATCCCCGAACCCCTCCACTGCCAAAGGGTAGCTGCTCTAATGCTGCCCATTCCCGCTGGCCTAGCTGCCCACAGAGCCCAATGTAGCTTAAGGATATACCTTGGATCATATTGGGACCCTTGATATGATTTAAGGGATATTCCGTGCCATGTTGGGCTCCCCGGGTGCCTGCTACTGCAGGTATCATGCATCTCCACCGTCTCCGAATCATTTCCATGGGTCTAGGGTTCAGGGTTTAGTATGTAGGGTTCAGGGTGTAGGGTTTAGGGTCGCAAGAAACTCAACGCAAGAGCAGTCGTAATTTTCCTTTCCGTCAGCTCACGCCTAGATCTTAGCCTCACGTACAGTGACGGCCAAGAGAATTGCCCACATTGTGGTCCTGAATGCCTTATACTTAGTAGCTGGGTAGGTACACTTTACACTTTGTGGATTCTTATATTCCCATTAGAATAAACCGTGTACACTTTTTAGGGGCCAGGGAACTCAGCAACTAGGTATACATTTATGATGCAGGTTACCTGTTACCTCAAATAGACCTCAAGATGGTATTGGTAGTTATTAGGCCGCTACACCGCGTTTGAGACATCTTCACGGAGCCTGGTGCATTTGGCCCATCATCCTCAAATAGATTGCCGTTGCTGCCAAATTCGGATGCATACGAGGTTGGTAGCTTTCTGAAATCAATCCCGCACAGCTCTATCAGAAACAGCCCGAGAGCACCGCTATCCCCAGTAATCCTTCAGGGTCCCTTCAGCCAGTTTTCTCTGCTTTTGTAGCCCCCTGTTGATTTTTTTAACAACTCCAACGTCAGGAGTTTATCGATGCTTGCTGCCTTCAATGTTCAAGTGCTTGTGTATCAAACGCCAACCACTGGAATAGCAGTTGCAATCCCTCAAGCCCTATAAACCCTAAACCCATCTAAACCCTAATAATCATCCCAAAAATGAAACTCAATTAAACACATCTGAAATAATTATCCCAACACATCCCCCAAAAGGGAACTCCCTGAGGTCATGCACTTCAATGGCAATGGCAAGAGGCATCTGTTCCGCTGCGTTGAGGAGTGTCGTGTTTGCGTGTTGTATCCTACACAGAGGATCCTATGTATGTTTATTGGTTTTGTGTTTTTTGTGGAAGGGTATTTTGCAACAACTACATAGGACCCCTAGGGTAAAGTGAACCCTGCTTGGCACTTTGGAGTTGAGGTTTCAGGGCTTAGCGATTCATGGGTGCAGTTTGGGTCTTTCCCTCTTACAGTAACTGTCCTTAAAGAGCTCTTATTAAGGGGCTATAGTAACTTCTAGTACCCATTGCGCCAAGAGGGGGATGACCCAAGGTGTAGGATTGTCTCCTCCAGTGGCCTTTGAATTCAAAAGTCGAAACATGAAAGGCTACACCGGACTTCATGAGATTGCAGCTTCAGGTGGTTCTCAACTTCCGAACCCTAAACTCTGAACCCGAAACCCTAAACCTCTTCTGGAGCCTGTAAAGGATCTGAGTAGAGTTTTGAGCTTGTCGCAGGGAAGGCTTATGTTGCAGACAGCCCCATGTCAGCTATAGTCCAAATTCCTTCAGGGGGTGTTATGCAGGGTTTGGGATTTAGAGTCGAAACTCCTTAAAGGGGGCAATTTGGGCAACTACTCTAGGGGTTATTTGGGCGGATACTAAGAGTTTAGACGATGGTTCATATGAGACAAGAATCTCTGTCAAAACTTGAGTTTTTCGGGCCAAAATGAGGACCTTCATCCAGAAGGTTCAATCAAGACGTGGTTTCACAACTCAGGGTATTTAGGACGCGTTTCAACATCCAGTTGTCTTGTTAGGGCCCTGTACTGTTTGGCGTTCCATGCCAACTTCCAGTGGGGTACGGAGCTGCAAAAACTGGATTATGCAAATGGGACGGGTATGCCGTATGCGTTGCTTGGGGTACGCCTTATGAGTTGCTTGCGTAAAAGAGGGTCCTTTTTTTTTGCGGACCCTGCGAGATTTCCTGATTTGTCCTTGACGAGCCCTTCATGGTAGCCTAGCAAGCACGTGCAAGAATCACGGTGCATCTTGTCTCTGCCAAAATGTAGGCATTTGCGCATGAAGACGCGGAGACGTCTGTCCCATACCAGACCCTCTAAAGGATCCGAAACATGGAACCCCCCAATAATCCCCTAGTGTCCCCAATGTAGGAGTGTTTTTTTGGTTGTTGGGGGGGTTCCATTCACATTTGGGGGGTTCCATGCCTTGGATCCTTTAGGGGGTCTGGGTAGCTTCTTCCATTTGATTCTCCATCACTGTGGGCAATCTTCTTAAGACCTACACCCTAAGTGGCAGTGCCCATTTTCCATAGATAACTTCCATTATTGGGCAAGATCCTTCTTGAGAAGTTCCTACAGAAACATCCCCACATTCCTGTCTTGATTCACCTGCTTCTCACCTCCACAAGCCCTAAGGGTCCAAGGACCCAAATAATAGGGCTTTAGGGCCCAAATACCGTTCATATTATAGTATTGGGGCCCTAAAACCCTACTATTTGGGTCCTTGGACCCTTAGGGAAGTCCATCATGACCATCTTAAGTCCTTAAACCCTAAACCCTAAACCAACCCCTAAACCCTAAACCCTAAACCAACCCCAAAAACCCTAAACCCTAAACCAACCCCCAAAACCCTAAACCCT